GATCTGAGAGTAATGTTACCCCTATTCAAATGTTTAGTACTGTTCAGCCTAAGCAGAATCAAATTATTTTGAAAGGATTATAAAAGCAGTGTTCTACTTTCCATTGGAGAAAGGGCTGGGGCAAATCTGTGGTTATGACGGCAAGGTAGTGCATTACATAAAAAGAACTATTTTTTGGTCCATGAAGCAAGAAACAATGCAACAAAATTCACCTCGAGCTAGAAAAAACAGCAAAGTTATTGTGAGACAGCACAGAAACAAATAAACCGCAAACTCTGCTTTAGACATACTGAAGGATGATTGTACACTGAGTGGTACTACTCCCTTGCAGGCTCAGCAAAGCCCAGCAGAGGCAGTAAGGGAGAAGCAGTGCCCTCAGCAGTTTAAGAACTTCAAAGATGAAGTGATGGGGCAAAGAAATTATGCATTTGGGTTTCTGCATTTTTCCCTTTAACAAGATAATGTTAGTAATTCTATTAAAGAAATGCTGACTCAAGTCAACAGTGATGCAGTTTCAGGATTCAAGTTGTTCATACTTGTGGGCATCTTGGAGTAGATAGTGAAGAAGTTTTGTTCTAGGATATTGCTCCTGATAAAGGGAATTAAATGCAAAGAAGTAAATAGGAATATATCTGCATGTGGCAGGGTGAAAGATCCTTTACACCAACATTAGGAGCACAATTAATAAGGGATCTGGCAGCAACTCATCATTACTAAGTGACCAACACTCAGTTTGAAGCGAGAGGAGTACTCCTTTCCTGCCCGGGAGCTCAGTGAGGGTATGGGCATTTACAAGACACTGGAAGTTAATGTGCAAAACCAAGTGGGAGGCTGGGAATACCTGAACTGTTAGGCTCCAGTCTGGCACACAGCCACTCTCCCAACTGTCAATATCCTTCTTTGAAGGCACACTTGAACCTGACTGCCCTCTATAACTTTACTTCACCTTTTGCATCTCCATCAGAATTGTATTTATCTTCCAGGCATCACACTTCTTCCTTCTACGATTTCTGGTTTTCCAGTGGGAATGGCTGTCCCCCATTCCATGTACTCCTGGGTGCATCTCAAAGCCCTGCAACTGCAGTATGTGACAATTCATGTGCCATCTCACTTCTTCTCTTCCCATCTGCTTCATCAGGCTGGCTAACTACAGAAGCTGAGCCTTTTGACTTCTGAACCTCTAGGCTACACGTGACTGTTCCTTTCAAGCATTTCTTAGAAGTGTGTGGAAAATATGCTGCTTTTTTCTTTCTTTTTTTTTTTTTAATTACAGCTGAGATTTCAACATAATGAAAGAACTTGAGAAGCCATTTTCAGAAAAGCTTTCTACAAGATAGTCTTTATTCTTATCTCTGCTCATAGCCACTACGTACTTCCTTTCCCACTACTTTCTCTCTCCTTTCCCTAGGAACCTGGCATATGGTGTTTGTGGAAACGTATGTAAAGAAATTGTGAAGTCCTTCAAAAGAGACCATTAAATGTCACTGGGTCACCAAGGAACAATGGGCAATGAGACAGTGTAACAGGACATGATGGAATTCTAGTTCTGGTTTGTTTTTTTTTTAAATTAAATGCAAATCTCCTCCGAGGCTCTCATACAACTCCAACTGGGCTTTAGTGCAGTTCATGTCTCAATTATTATCTGAAACTGTTGTTCCACAAGGCAGGTTGATCCAACCTAAAAGCCTACTGCCCCTCTTCAAGGGGCTGTTCTGCCCCACCTTCTCCCTGGCCATGTGCTCCCTCCTGGCACTGCTCACCTCCTGGCTCGCAGCAGTCCTCGTCAGGGGGAAAATTGAGCTCCCTGAACAGCAAAACCACCAGCAGTGCCTCAAAAGAAAGGAAAGGAAAAAAAATGTATTTACAATTCAGACAAGCATCAGTCTCAGCAAAGGGCTGGGACTGGGACTGTGTGGGGCAATGGGGGAGAGATGAGACAACACGATGAGCCACGACAAAGCTGAATAGCTGAGAACACCATGGTTAGGTCTGATTGATTTTTTTGGCCAGATCAGCTCCTTGCTCGATTGTTGTGTTGCAGAAACAAATGGCTGGGAACAGGAGAACCAAGGGCCTACAACCAGAATAAACACAGAGGCTGAAAAAGAGCCAGCCCCAAATATGACTTTCCCAGTTTCAAGGTGAGAATCACCTCTTGCCTCACCCGTAGTCTCAGATGCGTGCCTAGTGCCATAACATTACTTTACCTCCTACCACCACTGTTCCTATAAAAGTCAAAGCTGTGGCGTCATACTCACGAACAAGTTTCAACAGGAAAGCCAAAAAATTTGCAAATTTTACTTAAATGCTGTCCCCTTCAATAGCATCTATTAAATTTTCACAGCAACTGGGCTAAGAGAAGTCTGAAATCTTGATTGGTTTCCTATCCACAGATTAAGAAAAAACTTTTCTGCAGCATGAATATATCGCATGTACTCAGTGCGTAGTACTGAATTTACTTACTGTGCCAGAGGTGCCCATTTATGAATAATACAAGGATTTTTTAACTAAAACAGCTAAAAAGCAAGATGCAGGATATTACTGCACTATTGTTTATCTCGCTAAAATTATCTCTGGTGCAATCACTTACTTTCTAGATTAAAACCAGGTAATTTTAGCAGAGGAATGACATACAGCCATAATAGATAGGATACTCCACCTGGAGAGTAAACCTGAGGGCTAGAGGCTCAGGACAGAGCACATAGGGACACCTGGAGACATGCCATGGGTACACGAGGACCTGCTTAAGCAGTCCCAGCCCTTTGCCCACACCACTCACTGGACTCTCCCAGGTTCTCAGGGCTCCTATACACGTGTAGAAGCAGAATGTCAGGTGCTTATGACAAGGTTTTTGTCAAAAACAGGGGTATCCACAGACAACCAGGTCCATCTGCTTGTTGCTTCAATGCCAAACATTGTTAATTAGGTATGTGATCCCTCTTACGAGCTATAGAGAACCCAAGCAGCATCAAAGGCTTTTTGTGTTAAGTGCAATAGAAATAGCAGTGCAAAAACCACAGTTCCTTCTCCAGGCAGCTGACAGTTTAATGAAAAACTACAAGTAAGCAACAAGCAAGTGGGAAGAAAGGCAAGGATGAGAGAGCCAGGATAACAGCTGGTCACACAGACCTCTGGACCTAGGGCTTTTAAAGCAAACAAAAATTAGCTGTTCTATTCCATTTTTATCTACAATAATTTTATTTCACTTGACAGGTCTCAAAACAAATAGGTGAAGGGGGAAACCGTGCCCCTTGGGGGATGTTTCTAGTGGGCTAACCCAGGAATCTGTGCAGGTGTGAGCGCTTTCCAGAATCTGTTTCTTTCAATTCACTGTCGGCAAAATTTGAAACAACCAGCCATACAGGTGTAGTAACTTATGTTGAAGTTGGTAATTTGGTTAGGGGAACATTGGGAAAAAAAGACCACTGGTTATCTGCTCTGGCTCCACATTTGTCCCAGTGCCACTCCTCTCCTGAACATTACATGCCACACTGTATGCATGGCCAATGGCGCAGACTCCCGTGCAGAAGGTGGTGGTCAGGCAGAAAGAAGGATGTATGCCTCGTGCAGACAGCATTAGTGAAATCATTACTGAAATGCTGCATCCATTTCTGCTGTCATGCTTCAGAAAGGATGTTTACCACAAAATTTTATACAGTCTCAGCACTGTAGCGGTAATAGCTATAGAGATAATCTCAGTCCATCTATCCAAGAGAAAATTAAGGGCTTAGTTGACTTGAAACTACAGCTGATAGGTCCTTAACCTGAAAAATGAAGATGATAAGACATCACTGGCTGGGATCTGAGGTTAGACCACTTCAACTGATGAGCTTTTGGAACAATTGAGTTATCAAAGTAGTGGTTTCTCCACCATTGAACTCTCTATATGAAGATGAATCTTCTTCTCAAAGCCAAGCTATAGCCAAATATTATAAAACAGAACTTACTGTCATGGAATAGATAATCCTTTTTAGTCTTAATAGCTATAAATTACTAGTATTTCCATTAAAAATAAACTATATCCTTTCAGGCATCCTCAGATCAATCATGAGACTTGGATCCTAAGGCAGCATGCAGATAACAGCAGAACAGTAAGAATGCATACGTAGAGCAGCAATTTAGCCCACCAAACCTCTACAGCAGGAGGAATGCACAAGTAACAAAGAAGTTAAAAAAATAAAAAATTCAAGTGTTTCAGTTTCCTCCCTGCAAACACAGCCAGGCCACCTCTCTGCCTGTATGCAAGCTGAAAGAAACACAGAGAAGGAAAGGGGTGCAGCCACATTTTATTTACAAAGTTCTGTTTCCTTGTAAACCAACACTTTTCCTTCCCCCGGCACCAGGGCTGTAAGGCTGAGCAGGTATGGCACTTCATTTCTAGGACAGACTGCTAATGTCATTTTTCTAGCATAAAGCTCTGGTTGCTTAGAAAAATTTTACCCACAACTTTTACTTCCCTTTATTTGGGCACAGGGAGAAAGTTTAAATAACAGGCACAAGTACCTTTATGGTGAAGAGGCTTCTGACAGCTGGGGCAGCGTGGTGTAGGAGACTTCTTCCACTGCACAATCAGCTCAAGTCAACTGTAGAAATAGCATGACTCAACAGAAAAGGTTTGCTGCTCTTTTTTCCCCTCCTTCTCTCAGGAAGAAGACGTAACATAGAAACAAGTGTTTGTGGTTTTTAAATACTTGTTTCCTGTATTTTAACTGAGTTGGGTAACTTAAATACCTAAGGCATTTTATTTATTATACATCACTGTGTTTTTTAGCTCATTCTACATGCCATCTGAAAACCTTACCGCACGTAAGAGCTTCCTCCAAGCTACTGACAGAGTAATTTGCATTTCACTGTCCAACAATTTGAAACTACTTTATTATAAAAATATTCTTTAAAAGCTTTGCTTATTTTGATCTTAAGACTCCTGAGAAAATAGACACTTGTTTTTTTCTGAGACTGGCCAAAAATAGCATTATTAATACAAACAGCAAGCTTCTTGTTACAAAAGGTTTTATTATGTCCATCTGGGTAAAACCTTCTTTTCTGTGCCTGGTGACAGCCCATCACCACACATCTCAGACCATCAGACAGTGGTGCCAGCTGTGGCTGAGTGATGTTCGCTTTCCGTCTCTGATGGGGCATCTGTTGGGCTTGACTGTCCCTGAGCCCCAGACTTCACAGCATGCATTGCATAGTTAATGCTCGTGCTTCCTGTCCAGCTCCACGACCCCCAGAGGGGATTATACAACATCCCATTCACTGTCTTGACTGAAAAGCCATCTAGAAAAGAAAGAACCCATAAAGCAAGTGGTGTCCTTAAATATTGTCCCTGCAAGATCAAACCGTTTAGAACAAGGCTGAAACAGGCTGCTTCCTCCGAGCTGGGGAGCAGTGCTTCACAAGCTGGCCTTTGTCAGACAGCAGCAGGAGCTGCAGCAGCAGGCACCACTGGTAACAGTGGAGCCCATTATTGGCAGCAGCAGCAGCAGCAGCTCTGTGCCTGACCACGTACCAGAAGCACTCTATACAGTGAGTCACACTGCGAAGTCATAAGCTAGAAACCCCAGCTTCACCACATCTGGGTGACTGGTTTTCTGCAGGTAGGAACATTCTTCACATCGACATCAGACACTTCAAAATGAAAACTTGAGCATATCTTTGGAAGGATTCTGCAGATTCCCCTGAGGAGTGGCAAAATGTAAGAAGGAGGCGGAAAAATGCCATCAAGGGCTCAGTGCAAGTGAAAATTGATTTAGCACTCCCTGCTGAGCAGCTTTCAGTTCACTGCATGGCTCTGCTGTGTCCCATCAGGATACATGATGGAAGGCAAAAAACAAACACCCTACTGAAACAAATCACTGCACTGCACCTCCTTCTCCTTTGGAAGGGAAAACAGAAAGAGGCACCAATATGTGAACCAGTATTAGTCATGTTCTTTACAGCAGCGCTGCAAAGTGCCAAGGAAAGACCTTGCCAACAGACCAGCTCGACTCATACTTCAGGGCTGCACCAGCTACCAGGAAGGAGGAAAATAACTGTTATAGCTAAACCCAGGACAGCTTCCTTACAGTGAACTAAAGCAAAGTGAAATATGCAGTGAGAGGGTTTTAAAACATCTGCAGAAAAGGAGGGAAATGGGTGGAACTCTTCCCAGCTCAGTCCTTTGTCTATTTTAAAAGCAATCACGCCAGGACAATTTAATTATTTCTTCAAATCAGTATCATACAGTTTCTCAAGAACTTATTAATGAATTTCTGGTAGGTTTCATCTTCACATTTTTGAAGAAATCTTTTAGTAATATAATATGAATAAAGAACATGGAGCAGCAACCAAAACCAAAACCACCTTCTCCCAAGGGAAAGATGACAAACAGTGCAGTGCAGCTCTGGAGTGCCAATGCAGTTATTTTCACAAACCTGACCTAGAGCATATGGAACCACTTCAGTGCATACGCTCTGTCATCTGAGGAGGATGGAAAACCTTGGGATTTTCATTCAGGCTATCAAACAGAGGGCATCTGAAATAATGATTTTGTTTGAATGACCTCTGCATCCTTAGGACTCCACTATGCAAAATCCAGTAAGCAGTAGCGTCTTTAAACCAGAAATCATACTGTATGACTGGTAACTCATAGAGGAAAAGCTGTGTGTTGTTACTAATACACATCCCACCTAGCTTATCTCCTTGCCGTTTCTACAGGGACCATGTGAATACCTCCCTGCATTCCCATCACCCAGCCTGGAACTTACTTGATTCCAGGAGGCGCTCCAGGTCTTCAGGGGGAACAAACTTCTCCCACTCATGTGTTCCTTCTGGTACAATGCCGAGGATTTTTTCTGCAACCACAATTCCCAGGACATAGGACAACTGTGTTTTATTGATTGAAGTAATGAATAAAGAACCTTCAGGCTAATTAAAAGATTAAGATGTTAAATTAGAAAAATATTTATTATTTAAAAAAAAGTACATTTAATGGCACTAAAACACATGATTTGTCTATCTACAAGTCTACATGCTGCAAGAGTAAGAATTAATTTCATTCCAGAATAAGTATTTACAAGTATACCATTTAAATACAATAAAGAATATAATGTTCTAACCATATTACTCAGTAGTCCTTCAAGAGTCGACCTAATCAAAAGTCTTGGGCAGTCTGAAAACCACTTCCTTCCTCAAAAAACATCTAACAAAGTCACTTATAATGCAACATTGCCAAGGAAATGGATAACTAGAAGATACTAAAGTATATAAAATACCTGTTGTAAAAATAAACACTTTGTAAATTTAAAACCAAAGTAAAATGTGCAATACTGCCTATTTTTAAGGCTGCTGAATGCTGTGTTTGTTTTAATGACTACAGAGTCAAAAAACAAAGCCAGAAATGAATTCTAAGTACTTCAGCGATTGTTTGGTAGAAATAAAAGATAATTTCCATGACCCCAGCAGGGTGAAAATTAGTTAAGCATTTCATTCAAATCATCTATACTCCTTCTGAACACCAGAAAGGTAAATAAAGAGATTAAAGGAAATCTGCTGCTTGTGTACTGGGCCCACCATCCTTCTTTACCAGAGAGGAATAAAACAACACCTGATTATGTCCAAGCGTAACTATGACCCTTTAAAAGCAATCCAAGAGCACATCTGATGTGATGCTAGAGCAGGAATAGAATCATAGGAGTCAGTTTCAGTGTAGTCTGAGCCATACCCGTCCATCAAGAGCAGCGATGTCATGTTTTCTCTCAGCTGGGTGAAATCAGATGCAACCACATTTCTTAAGGTCTTGCTGCAAAGCAACACTGCAATTTTGGGTAATGCCATTAGCACTTTCTAAGGGAGGGTTGGGGAAACAAATCTCCTGTCACTTTAGTTATTGAAGTTGGGAAGATGTACTGGCATCATGGAGGAGCATGGAATGTACCTCTAGAGCATGGTTCAGACTTCAAGGTGGAGAAATGAATGCAGATGTAGGTGCCTTCACACCCCTTCAGATGAAAGCCTTAATAATAAAAACAGAATAAATATTCCCCATAATGAAAGCAAAAACTCTCTTACCTTTAACACCTGAGAGCAACACTTGATAAACATTTCAAGGTCAGCCACATGCTCCACTACTTCAGAAGCTACAATTACATCAAAGGTTTCCATAGACTCTTCCACAATCTCCTCCAGTGAACTGGACTTGTACTGTATTCTCTGGGCCAGGACTGGATCAAATGACTTGTGCTGATCTGCTGTTCTAATGTTGTCCTCCAGAGGATCAATTCCAGTAACTGAAGCTCCCAGTCTACCTAAAGGCTAATAATAAAGAGTATAATTTATTCTCTGCATGAAAACAATTTACTTAAAGGTGTCTGCAGCTTTGCAGGGTACATTCACGAAGCAGAAAACATCCATCGGAGCACAAGACAAACAAAAAGAATCATGAGCTCTGACATGGCAGTTTTATATTAAATGTTTATTAAAGCAAGGAAACCCTTGGTTTTGGGGGAGGTGGTGTTAATTTTCTTAGAAAATTATGCACTGGAATATACACACTGAAATTGTCTTTTAGAATAAATTGTTCCGAACCCTGGACTATTACCTTCCAATAGAGGAAAAACAAAGGGGGAAAATCAACACAGTCCTCAAAGGGGGGAAAACAATGCAGTATTTAATTACGGTCATTACTTTCTTCAACATCCACCTGTAATGGTAAATCCTCATCACTTTTTAATGGTTACTTAATATACGATTATCTCTGGGACTTTCTCACTGCTGAGAACTAAACTCTGATGTTTACTAGGATAGCATCAGACTTGGCTGTCACTCAGGTATCTCCCGTGTCTTCTTACTCACAGGTTAACACCTCAGCCATCACCTTTTCTGAAACTGAAACAGGCTGCAGAACATGACCACATGTATGTTATTCCAACCTGAAATTCACCGGTTGTGCAGCCTGAGAACCTGATGCAGCACTCTGGTTTTGCCAGCCTTGTCAAAAAGTGAGCTCTCACAAGACCACGGGGTTTTGCTCAGAATAAATGAGAAACAAAACAAGAAAGAACCAATGGAGAGAGATTCAGCTCCCTTTGTAACACCATGTTTCAGATGCTGATGAATCTCCCAGAGTAAGTCAGACAGATCTGTAATCCCAAATTTGCAAACAATCCCTATTGTCAGGATACAGCACTGTTCCGAGGCTGAGCAACCAAAGAGTTCCACCACCGACAGTGACTTCTCAGTCCCAGGTTTGTGCAGGCTCCTTGGGAAGCAGCTGTAACATCAGCCCCTGTACCAGGAGAACCTCTCCTGATGGCGGGAAGGTATGTCTCGGGTGTTTGACATTATTCCGTGCTTTTCCCATGAGATCAAAGCAAAGGCAAGAATCCACACCCCCAGTATAAAAAGCTGAAGATAAGCAATTCAAGGAAATGAACGTGTAATAACAAGTTTGTAACAGAAAACACTTCTCTGGTAACGAGGACTGTCATGATTAAAGTGTTCTTGCCTAGGCTTGTAAATTGAAAAGAGATAGTTGTCACACTGTGACTGCCCAGAGGAATACTCGAAGACTTTGACATTGTTCTTCCCCTCTCCTTTTCTTCACAGTGTTTGAAATCTTACTTATCTGATGAACCTTGGAATTTCAGAACTTCTCATTACCAGCTCCTTCTCTGGGGTTTGTAGAACACTCTGCACTCCAAATGAGTCAGTAACTAATACATCATATAAAAGAAAAGCTCCTCCTTGGAGGATTAGAAACTAGGCAGTGTAATAATAGCACAGCTCAAATACTATGTATGCTTTTTAACGAGAGAAACCAGAGAACCCCATTTCCTACCTCACTGAGCAGTCCACCGCCACAGCCAATGTCCAGGATTTTTACTCCAGAAAGTGGACTTCCCAGGTGGTAATTACTGCTCATGTTCAACAGAGTATCTCTGAAAGAAAAGGGATGGATTAAGGGCAAACACACACGTGCTTTAGTAGCTGCAATATGCAGTTATCTTTAGGGCTGGTAATTGTTTTTCTCTTACTGACGTTATGCAGAAATAGTATGTATTATTTTAAAATCTGTATTCAAACCCATACCTAATAAAGGGCACTCTAATGTCATTCATAGAATGAAGGGCTGAATATTCTCCTTCTTCATCCCACCACTTCTGGGCGAGGAACTGGAATTTTTTAATTTCCTTGGGATCCACTGATGAGCGTGAAGTGCTGAAAGGTCTCTTCACAGTGAGCCTAAATAATGAAAGCGGAATGCCATGACACTCACACTGGTATTCATGTCAGATAAAATATGGGAAAAACAAACTCTGCATCAGAAAATGAAAAAAAGATAAAAGTAATTTTCCTTTAGAGACTACAGTTATACTTGATTAGTAACAAACAGATTTTATACACTTTGTGTTTACAAACCAGATGGCCAGACACCTGTAATTTTTAAGCTAGTAATTAATAAAACAAAACTAGGCCACACCAAACATTTAAACATCTGTGAGGTTTAAAAATGACTTCACAGGACGCTGTCACGAAGTAAAACTAAACTGTTACAGAAAAAGATGGTCCTTGTCCCGCAGGATTATTTTAGATGCCACACTTACATGCTGCTTTTCATTTCGGACAGAGGGGGCTGTGTTTCCCAGTTGCAGTCCTGAAGGGTACCTCTCAGGCCTGCCTGAAAGGGCAGATCAGCATGGTCATCTGCTGAAATAAAAGAAGGTGACCGAATGGGAAACATCAGCTCTACAAACCTCGTTTGACAATGCAGTGCTAGAACAACACCGCTAACCACGCAGCTCTTTACACAGTGCTCACTACCGTTCTTGGTGAGTGCACGGGGATTAAGCAAAAGAGCTCGTGGTAATGCAGACCCCCTGTACTTCTCCAGTTATGTACGGTGGCATTTTTCAGAGCCTGGATGAGAAGGAACTTTTCACGCAGCTGAAATGTTTCAGTTACGTTTCCTCCTGACAACAAGCTGTGCATACACCCACAGTTATCAACGCTGGGCTCTGATTCCTCTTTCATCACCTGTTAGGGTAGTAAATACACAGCCGCACGCTCACTTTGTGTATTATGAACTGGGGAAAAAACGTAAGACCTCTCAGACAGCGCAGACAGGCCAAGACACCGTCCTGAAAACTGTCCTTCACACCAGCCCTGCCAACGTGCACTGGGCTTTCCCAGTATAGCACACACACGACCCAGCTGCGGCCGGGCCACCAGCAACCAAACCACAGCGACACCT